TTGTGGTTTGGGGTATGGTTGTTTCTTTTGAGGGAAGGATTGATTTTGTGGAGGGTTGTTTTGTGGTGGGTTTCCTTGAGGATTCCCATATATAAGATTTGGGTGATCTCTCCACCCGAGATTATAAGTGTTGCCATAGGAATCATACCTCTTTTGATTTTGGAACTCCAAAGCGTTGACTTGCTCGGGGTTATCTTCTTGAAGTGAGGGCATGAATCGGTAGGATGCCCTTGTTGCGTGCAAATGCCGCAGACCTTGACCTCTTGGGTTCTAGGATTCAACCGGAGGAAAATCCTCTTCCAAACATCAAAGGCAGGAGCCCCAGACATTCCTAAGGCAGATGATACCATTCTTTCCAACGAGCCTCTCCAAACCACTCTCAACAGAATCAAGAAAAAAACGGCTAAGAGGCTCAGATCGGGGTGTGAAGAGGTTCAGTCAAAAAGAACAAGAACCAGTACAACAACCAGAAATTTACAAGAAGAAATGGAAGGGGCAGCCTTAACTCTACCCATCATCCACGAAGAAGAAGCAAGATCCCACTCATGCACATCAGAGGCCAATCCATCGTCGCGCTAAGGAGGAACCAACAGCTCTTCTGTTCCTCTGTCTGTGCTCATGCCAACATTACAACAAACAGAGGAGCAGCCGGCTCAAACTAAAGAGTAGGCGACTCAACTGGATGAGCAGGTGCCTCATCCTTCCCCAGCAGACAGCTCAACAGTTCTGACTTCCCTAGAGCAACTAGATGCAGACTATGCTAGAGTAAAGGACTGTAGGAAATGGAAGCTCTCACGCATACTCATTGATGTGCACTTTGTCATGAGGTGCACTCAAAATAATTAATCAATACAACACTAATACGTAGTATAGTGAAGTAAGGTTCGTATCCACAGGGAAAGGAATACTTTTCTTGTATAAAAATAGTAACAAGGGGGGATTTTGATTGAGTGATGAATTTAAAATGTTTTTAAACACTAAGTTAAACGACTTATGTGGTTTACCTTAAGAGGGATGAAGACTAGGTTTTGCTTTTATCCACTTAATGAAATGTTCGTCGATCCCGGTTATATCTTTAACTATCTTCCTCTCGAATACTCAATCGAGGAGTATATCCAGTTCATCGAGGGTAGTTATTAATAACGAGACGCGTTCATTAATAAAACTTACTATCGAGTTAATATAGAACACGCGCCGTATTTTAACCCGATAATAGCAATAAAATCAAGATGAAAACGATTGAGATTGATAACCTCAACACAAGTGGTTTATTACTTTAATTAACATAATTAATTCCCCTTAGATTATTAACCATGAGACGCATGCATTAATAATCCAAGTTTACTACCGTCGAAAGAACCGAATTAATAACAAGCGTATTAACCGATTGATTCTAGTAATAATTAATATATGAAACAAAACTAGTTGATCCTTTAAGTAATGCTCAAAATATTAATATGGAATATGAATAGAAAGTAATTAATATTCAAGGAAGAAGATTAAAGAAAATAACTCACAACTTACAATTCATTTGGAGACTAAACATGATGAAAATATAAAGAAAGAACTATTCTAGACTGAGCTTAGAAGTATATGTGAATTGGTGATCTAACTGTGAAGGGAAGGGGGGTGTATTTATAGGCTTTTGGGGATGCAGCTCGGGTACCCGATCGAGTATATACATGGTACCCGACCGGGTATGTGTAATACCTCAAATTCGAGGTATACTCGATCGATTAAGGGGTAAATTCTATAAGCATACCCGATCGGGTGTGTTCTTGTACCCGATCGAGTATGTGTAAAACCTCAGATCCGAGGTATACTCGATCGATTCAGGCTTAATTTTGAAGGGATACCCGATCGGGTGTGTCAGTGTAACCGATCAGGTATAGACACTCGATCGTGGTCAAAATCTTCCCTGCATGTTACTTTGTCTTCGGATCTGATCCGATTTGAAATTTCAACAAGATACCCGATCGAGTATAGGTCATACCTGATCGGGCATAGACCAAAAATTCAGGATCTTCATTTTTTCTTGTGATTTTGCACCTTCCTTCCACTTTTGGAGTTCACCAACTGTCCTTTGAGTGATAATAGACCTGTTTGAGCTCAGAATGAATCTAATCTAAACAATTTACAAGAATTGAACAAACTAAACTATTACACCAAAAGTGTGTAATTTCCAAAGTGAAAACCAATCAAAACTAATTAAAAAACACAAACATACAAATGGAAATTACGAGCGTATCAAGCTACATCGAAGAAGAAGATTTCGCTTTGGAGTGGCTTGGAACAGAAAATATTGAAGATGCAACAAGGCTCTCTCACGTCAATCAAGTCTACAGCAATAAAAAGAGGCAACTGCTAGGAGAGTCACCAACTCCAAATGATGACCTAGATGATGATGATGATGATGATGATGATGATGATAAAGACGCTCCCAAAGGACCTCCAAGCAACACAGGTAAACACATCATCACCTCCTCTTCCTCTAGTGATGAAATCCTTGGAGCAATCATGAACAAATCTAGACTGGAGACACAAGGAGGCGGTGAAACCTCCAAAGCAATGGAAGCAGTTGCAAACAAAGAAGCTTAAGAGCAGCCAACTGCCATCTCACAGCAGGCAACTCCAGCCTTGGACCTCAACAAGGAACCCAACAATGAAGAAGAAGAAGATACTCCTACAATGGCGGAGGTATTCATCCAAGAAAGGAGAGCCACAACAAAGTTCATAAGCAACGCAGAGGTAAGACTGCACAAGAGGCTCATCAAACACAAGCAACGACTTGAAGAGCGGCTAGATATGCGGTTTGAATAAGTCAGATGATCCCTGTTGCGATTTCAGAATGAGACCTTCCACCATTTTATTCATATCTCTTGATTGGATGATTCAAATCCAATTCGGCAAGTTGTGGTGGATAGAGGACTTCATTATCTACAAATGTCATGAGAGAAGTTGTGTCAAATTCGGAATAGAGAAGCCGGAAAACTCACTGGCATCCACGCACGCGTGCGTGGACGACGCACGCGTGCGTCCAACGTTTTTTCATGCAAGTCTGTCGGACGCACGGACGCCACGCACGCGTGCTTGAGCGCCGTGAATATCCTGTTTTAGTCCTAATCCAGCCCCTAGGCACGAGTTTAGAGTAAGTTTTATCTTTTTAATTAATGATAATTATTTCTATTCTTCCCAATTCTATTGATTCTTCAATTATGAGTCGGGAGTAGTTTTAATTAGGGATTTGGGATTGATGAAAGGGTTAATCACGATGTATGGCTAGTTTCTTGATGGTTTAAATTGCATGAATGTCGTTTAATTTGTGTTTGAATAATTTAACTGATATCTCTTGTAACCTAGAACGCGCGCTAGAATTACAATTGCTTATAAAATAAGTTAAAATAGATCTAATTTATTCTAGGACACCTTCACATACACTTAATCGTTCGCTAAGAGATTAGTAGCGATTAAGGGGCCGTAATCTCGCTTGTTTTGCCAATAATTTAGGATCCTGTCGCATGAGAGATCAGTCTGGCAATAATTGTACTCTACGCCACGAGAGCGGTAAGAACTTAGTAATGATTAGCTAGGCTCAATTAAATTAATTTCATGTAATTAAGCCTGATCAGCCAGAAATCCGATTACCCCGGAATCAATCCCTATTCCCTTCGTCGTTAATTAAGAAGAACCCAATCAATTATTTTTATTCGCTCCTTCACATTAGTTTAATTTCAATTCAACCAATCAATCGCGCACGACGCATTTATTTTATTTATTTTTAATCGCTGAATTTAATTAATTCGTAATTCCCTTTTGTCCGTCCCTGTGGAGACGATACTCGTACTTACACCACTATGTTACAATCTTTTTAAAGTGTGAGAAAACTCACATCAGTTTTGGGCGCCGTTGCCGGGGACGGTGTCGAATTTGAGGGTTAATTAATACCAGCGACTTGTTTTTAGTTTTTCGTAGGATTTTTGTATGCTAACCCTGTAGGTCAGATCTGTTTATGCATACACATTCTAAGAGGGAAGAACCGCTAATCCCTCTTAATCTTGAGATCGAAAAGCTCGCCAGATAAAACCGCAAGGCCCAAAAAGAGAAAATCATCATGGACCATCAATCTTCATCTGGAACCGCAGGGATGTCTGGTAACCCTAACACCATATCTCAACAAGATTTATATGTTAACACGTCACCCCAATCTTCACCACCAATTTCACCTAGAAACCCTCCTGATTTTCAAAACTACCGTACTTCGATCTTTTCCCAAAATCAGCATTCTCCGCAATTTAACCTCCCTCCATTATATCAACTATTTCAAAATACCCCTACTGCTCCTGAAACTAATTTCCAAAATCAAGTTTATGGGATGCAAGGAGCAAGGTAGAGTATTCACGTTTTCCAACCGAGACAGAACCCACTTCCAATCAATCAACCTACATTCCAAAATCAGCCTCAGTACCATAATCCGTACCCAATCAGTATCACAACCAAACCCAAGTCCCACCTGCTCAGCCACAACCAGCCCCCCAGCCTAGACAGCAGGCACCTCCACCCAATACTTACGTACCGCATAATAATCCTCTCTATCAGGGTCGGACCATTGCAGAGTTCCTTATACCACACGTCTCAGAATATGATAGCATTCAAGTGCCAGGAATTAATGCCAATCGTTATGAGATCAATCCGGCAATGATAAGCATGGTGTCCAATAACCAATTTGGAGGAGGCCCATACAGAAGACCCAGTGGCACATATTACCCGCTTTCTGAGGATGTGCCTGACTTTCAAGATACCTGGGTTAACTGATAATCAGGTAAGGATGATGCTTTTCCCTTTCTCACTGAGGGATGATGCACAGAGGTGGTTGGACAACAATCCTCACCACCACCTCCAGACTTGGGACCAGCTGCATAATGCCTTTATAATAGAATACTTTCCAACATCAAAGGCACTTAAGTTGAAAAAGCAGCTGCATGAGTTCAAGCAGGGATCTCTGGAAACACTAGATGAAGCATGGAAGAGATTCAAGGTGCTGAGAAGAGCATGCCCTCAAGGCAATTTGAGTGATTGTGAGGTTCTTTTCTACTTCTATAGCGGACTCAACAATGAAGGGAAGATGATGCTAGATGCTTCGGGTGGCGGAGCCTTTCCTGATTTACCATCTGAGGTTGGGGAAGAACTAGTGGAGAAGATTGTTTCAAATAATGTATCTTGGTACAGCGATAGGAGTTCTCCTCAGCAAAAGGCTTCGGGCCTATACGAGATCAGTGATAATTCTGCTCTCTCTGCACGAGTAGATACATTGGCAAGCATGGTGCAGAAGCTCACAACCAGCGTGGATGTTATAGGGAAAAAGGTGGATCTTGCTCTCTCGGTGCCCAGCGTTAATATGGTAGCCCTCGGTCCTATTAATCCTTCTTGTACCACATGTGGGGGACTCCATTGGCCGCGTGAATGCACTATGATGGCACACTCGGCAGCCCATGGAGTAGAGCAAGTTAATGAGATTTATTCTCAGCGACAGGGTAACTACAATCAGCCCTACGGACAGCAGCAACAAGGGAATTACGGGCAAGGAAATCAGCAACAACAGCAGTCTAGGAACTATAATCAGCCCCAAGCACCTCAAGGTCAGTAACAAGCACCTCAGCCAGTGCAAGGGAGTTTCAGGAGGGAGATTGAGCAAAAATTTTCTAGCTTGGAAGAAACGCTCAAACAATTAGCGCAAAATCAACTGAGGGCGGACTCAAGGATGCAAAACATTGAAAATCAATTGGGCCAACTTGCAAAGGCTATATCTGAAAGGCCTCAGGGATCCCTCCCTAGCAACACTGAGCCGAACCCAAGAGATAATGTTCATGCAGTCACCTTGAGGAGTGGAAAAGAGCTAGAACCTGCTGCCACGACAAAGAATCCCAAAGAAGTTGAACCGGCTGCCCGGGAAGAAGAAAAGGACAAAGAAGATGGAAGAGAGGTGGCGGCTGCACCAAAACAGCCCGTTTCGGTTAAGAATTACACTCCACCTCTCCCCTATCCGGCACGATTGACGAGGAAGAATGATAGTGACCAGTTTAGTCATTTTCTGAAACTCATGAAACAAATTCAACTTAACATACCATTCGTGGATGCACTAGCACAAATGCCGAAGTACGCGATGTTCATGAAGGATCTGCTTACTAACAAGAGGAAGCTGGAAGAAGCATCAACTGTGTGGCTTAATGTGGACTGCTCAACTGTGATTAGGAGGGATCTACCAGAGAAGCTTAGGGATCCAGGTTCTTTCACTATACCTTGCTTAATAGGATATCTTACTTTTGATAGGGCCTTAGCTGATTTGGGTGCAAGCATTAACTTGATGTCATATGCTTTGTATGAGAAGCTTGCACTCGGTCCACTAAAATCAACACGTATGTGCATACAGTTGGCTGATCGTTCAGTCAAATATCCCAAAGGGATTGTTGAAGACGTGTTGTTTAAAGTGGACAAGTTTATTATTCCTGTAGACTTCGTTATTTTGGACATGGATCAGGATCGAGAGGTACCATTGATTTTGGGCAGACCATTCTTGGGAACTGCCCGAGCACTCATTGATGTTGGAGACGGTAAGCTTGTCCTCCGCGTTGGGGATGAGACTTCCACTTTTGATATGTCCAAAATAATGAAGAGGCCTTGTCAGGATAATGGAGAGTGTTTTTATTTGGATGACATAGATTCTATGGTGGAGGATTGCACCCCTAACATGCTTTCTAATGAAGCCCTTTTTGACCTGTTGTTGGAGGATAGTGTGTCAGCAGAGGATCTTGAGCCCCTCCCTAGTTTTGATTGTCTTATGATTAGTGGAAAGGAGGACTCAAGTGATGTTAGTTCTGTGTAGGGGACGGAAGATGATTTAGATAAGGTGGAGAAGGAAAATTTTCAGTCTGATTCCTTTTTTGTTAGTCCTTCTCCATTAAATCTAAAGTCTCTTCCATTCCACCTTGAGTATGATTTTATTGATAATAGTCCTGACCCCCCTGTTATTCTTACACCCGAGCTTGATCCATCCCAAAATTTAGCATGTTTTAATTTACTTAGTGAACAAAGGGAAGCTCTAGCCCGGATAATTTTTGACATGAAAGGGAGTTGTCCATTCTTTGACCCATTCTTTGCTAAAGGGCCTGATAAAGGCCACGATCCATTCTTTTACTTTATGGGTGACCCTGAGATGCATAATTGTTTTCATGAATTTAAGGTCTTACGCCATCTTAGGGCATTTGTTGATAGGAGGTTTGATTTGTGGAAGACTAATTTTCTGAGCGGGAGTGTCTTTGACTAAGTTTTGGATGAGGTGGTTGCGTCGGACAAACGACGTTAAAACTAACGCTACTTGGGAGGCAACCCAAGCTTATTTATGCACTTTTGTTTTTGTTTTTTTGTTTTCAAGAAACCCCCGAAAAAAAATCGGGGTATTTTCTGTTTTTTGTTTTGTGTGTTTTGTGTGTTTTGTTTTTGCAGCTCAAGGTCTTGTTGTAGCGATGATATGCCGTGGTTTACATTGACTCAGTTTAATTCTACACCGACCAACGCCAATAGGGAAGTTTTTATGACTATTCTTTACGCCTGTTTTAATATGTTGACTTGAGTTAAGTTGAGCACGCGTGACCCTTTCCTCTTTACCCCCTTGTGCATAGTGCATTTTTGGCCATCGAGGGCGATGCCAAAGTTTAAGTGTGGGGGAGTGAATTGGGCATTCGGGCAGTAGTTGTTACATGAGATTAATTGGGTTAGCATGCGTAGGTGTTATTTGTATATTCATAGAAAAGTCATGTCAAAATTTTTGAAATTTTTTCCTTAAACTGTGTCTTTGTGAGCTGGCTAACGTGTTGACTATGCTTTTAGAACATCTTTGAAGTGTTTAGGCTTAAATTGCTTGCACTATAATCTAGTAGTTAAGATGATGAAGGCATTAGTCAGCCATTGAATTAATTCATAAATCATCCATCCCACTTGAAAAAGTTCTTTAGGAGAAGCCACTTTGAGCCTGACCATTTTGTTCTTTACCCAATTAATTGAGCTTCATAGCCAAAGGGCTTGTTTTCTTACCCGTGAATAATTTTGACATAGTCTTGGTGTTTAGGGAATCAGAGGATAAGTTTTCTAAGTTCAGGGAGTTTTGGTAGGAGCCACTGTTGGTGCTGTTCCCATGTCCCAAATGGGGTAAGAACAGTCAGTTTTTAGGAATTTGATATTTTCGAGGATTGCATTGTAGGCATGGATTCACTAAATTGATTGAATTTGAATGATTAGAATTTTAATTGCTAATTTTCCTTGGTGAGACCGAGATTAGAATGAGGTAATGTCTAGTGAAAATCTGAAAATTGAAAAAATTAATTAAATGAACTAGACCTCTTACCTTGCGAAAAAGAGAATGGGAGATGCGGTCAAAAAGCGTAAGTGTTCTGCACAATAAGATGAGACTTGGGGATCTTTCGAAAGAAATGACATTCTTGTGCCAACATGACAAGGAAAACTGAACTTATTTAATGAACTTGGAGGCTTTAGCAAAATTAGCTTTAGTCCTTCACGTACTTCAAGTATACGTCAAAGCACAAATGTGTTGCGGCGGTTTAGTTTAGTTGTACACCATGTCTACTCTTTGCATAGGTTTAGATGATAGTTCCTAATTTGTGTCCTACTAAATTCCTTAATCCGAAAAATAGCCCTGAAATTTATGAACGTGTTAAGTTTTTGTCAGATTATTCCAAAACTCTCAAATAAAGAGACTGTTTATTCATTCACCATTCACCACCACCTTCACAAGTCCTTCTGATCAGTAGCTAGTTTATTAGTGTAGGGTGTCACTACTTTGAGGATGTTGTTAATAATTTTGTCATTAATGTTAGCCAGAGTACAAAGATGTAGTTTAGGAAAGAATTTTCTTGGGTTAGCCTTTCTGTTATGTGAATATTCCTTTAACTACGTGTGCATGCTAATAGTCTTAATTCTGTGTGGTGATTATCGTAAGTCTCGTTGTTTAGTTTGCTTGAGGACAAGCAAAGACTTAAGTGTGGGGGAATCTGATAAGTTTATATTTTGACACGCATTTGATGCGTGTTGGGATCGAATTTGATGTTTTTCCTAGCTTTAAGGTGTTGCAAGTCTCAATTTTAGCTCGAGTTATGTTTACCAGGCGTTGGTTCGAGTTTTGTGTTATTTGGAGTCAAAATCAGGAATTTAGAGTCCGGCACCGGCACTTGAAGGGAAAACGGAATGATGCGAGAAGCATTCGAGAGTGAATTGAGAGCTTTGGAGGTCACCTGGATGTTCACGATGAAGATTTGATGACAAAAGAGCTCTAGGATTGGCTACGGGATCAAAAGAAGACAAATAGAGCTTGAAAACGGTGTTCAGGATTACCTTCTATCAATCGTTCAAGCATATATCTTTGTAGAAGCATCCAAAGAATACGATTCAAGTTGCATATGAAATACAACTTCAAGAGCTACAAATCATATGAAGACACCATTTCGAGAATCTGAGAGGAAGAAGGTGAAAACAGTCGATGAAGTCAGATGATCCCTGTTGCAATTTCAGAATGAGACCTTCCACCATTTTATTCATATCTATTTATGAAATGATTCAAATCAAATTCGACAAGTTGTGGTGGATAGAGAACTGCATTATCTACAACTTGCATGAAGGACGTTTTGTCAAATTCGGACTAGAAAAGCCGGAAAACTCACTGGAAGCCACGCACGCGTGCGTGGAGGGACGCACGCGTGCGTGGGGAGACGCACGCGCGCGTCCAACATTTTTTCGTGCAAGTCTGTCGGACGCACGGACGCCACACACGCTTGCGTGGGAGCCGTGCGTACCCTGGTTTAGTCCTAATCCAGCCTGAATTGCTTTGTTTCCTTTAAATATCACCCCCCTAACCCTAATTAGGGGGAGAAACTTAGAGAGAGGCTTAGGCACGAGTTTAGAGTAGTTTTCCGCTATTTTGCTCAAGACTTTGAGATTATTTGTAAGTTTTATCTTTTTAATTAATGACAATTATTTCTATTCTTCCCAATTCTATTGATTCTTAAATTATGAGTCGGGAGTAGTTTTAATTAGGGATTTGAGATTGATGAAGGGGTTAATCATGATGTATGGCTAGTTTCTTGATGGTTTAAATTGCATGAATGCCGTTTAATTTGTGTTTGAATAATTTAACTGATATCTCTTGTAACCTAGAACGCACACTAGAATTACAATTGCTTATAGAATAAGTTAAGAGAGATCTAATTTATTATAGGACATCTCTGCACACACGTAATCGTTTGCTAAGATATTAGTAGCGATTAAGAGGCCGTAAGCTCGCTTGTTTTGGCAATAATTTAGGATCCTGTCGCATGATAGATCAGTCTGGTTCCCTAAATTATTGTACTCTACGCCGTTAGAGCGGTAAGAACTTAGTAATGATTAGCTAGGCTCAATTAACTGTGTGGCTTAATGTGGACTGCTCAACTGTGATTAGGAGGGATCTACCAGAGAAGCTTAAGGATCCAGGTTCTTTCACTATACCTTGCTTAATAGGATATCTTACTTTTGATAGGGCCTTAGCTGATTTGGGTGCAAGCATTAACTTGATGTCATATGCTTTGTATGAGAAGCTTGCACTCGGTCCACTAAAATCAACACGTATGTGCATACAGTTGGCTGATCGTTCAGTCAAATATCCCAAAGGGATTGTTGAAGACGTGTTGTTTAAAGTGGACAAGTTTATTATTCCTGTAGACTTCGTTATTTTGGACATGGATCAGGATCGAGAGGTACCATTGATTTTGGGCAGACCATTCTTGGGAACTGCCCGAGCACTCATTGATGTTGGAGACGGTAAGCTTGTCCTCCGCGTTGGGGATCAGACTTCCACTTTTGATATGTCCAAAATAATGAAGAGGCCTTGTCAGGATAATGGAGAGTGTTTTTATTTGGATGACATAGATTCTATGGTGGAGGATTGCACCCCTAACATGCTTTCTAATGAAGCCCTTTTTGACCTGTTGTTGGAGGATAGTGTGTCAGCAGAGGATCTTGAGCCCCTCCCTAGTTTTGATTGTCTTATGATTAGTGGAAAGGAGGACTCAAGTGATGTTAGTTCTGTGTAGGGGACGGAAGATGATTTAGATAAGGTGGAGAAGGAAAATTTTCAGTCTGATTCCTTTTTTGTTAGTCCTTCTCCATTAAATCTAAAGTCTCTTCCATTCCACCTTGAGTATGATTTTATTGATAATAGTCCTGACCCCCCTGTTATTCTTACACCCGAGCTTGATCCATCCCAAAATTTAGCATGTTTTAATTTACTTAGTGAACAAAGGGAAGCTCTAGCCCGGATAATTTTTGACATGAAAGGGAGTTGTCCATTCTTTGACCCATTCTTTGCCAAAGGGCCTGATAAAGGCCACGATCCATTCTTTTACTTTATGGGTGACCCTGAGATGCATAATTGTTTTCATGAATTTAAGGTCTTACGCCATCTTAGGGCATTTGTTGATAGGAGGTTTGATTTGTGGAAGACTAATTTTCTGAGCGGGAGTGTCTTTGACTAAGTTTTGGATGAGGTGGTTGCGTCGGACAAACGACGTTAAAACTAACGCTACTTGGGAGGCAACCCAAGCTTATTTATGCACTTTTGTTTTTGTTTTTTTGTTTTCAAGAAACCCCCGAAAAAAAATCGGGGTATTTTCTGTTTTTTGTTTTGTGTGTTTTGTGTGTTTTGTTTTTGCAGCTCAAGGTCTTGTTGTAGCGATGATATGCCGTGGTTTACATTGACTCAGTTTAATTCTACACCGACCAACGCCAATAGGGAAGTTTTTATGACTATTCTTTACGCCTGTTTTAATATGTTGACTTGAGTTAAGTTGAGCACGCGTGACCCTTTCCTCTTTACCCCCTTGTGCATAGTGCATTTTTGGCCATCGAGGGCGATGCCAAAGTTTAAGTGTGGGGGAGTGAATTGGGCATTCGGGCAGTAGTTGTTACATGAGATTAATTGGGTTAGCATGCGTAGGTGTTATTTGTATATTCATAGAAAAGTCATGTCAAAATTTTTGAAATTTTTTCCTTAAACTGTGTCTTTGTGAGCTGGCTAACGTGTTGACTATGCTTTTAGAACATCTTTGAAGTGTTTAGGCTTAAATTGCTTGCACTATAATCTAGTAGTTAAGATGATGAAGGCATTAGTCAGCCATTGAATTAATTCATAAATCATCCATCCCACTTGAAAAAGTTCTTTAGGAGAAGCCACTTTGAGCCTGACCATTTTGTTCTTTACCCAATTAATTGAGCTTCATAGCCAAAGGGCTTGTTTTCTTACCCGTGAATAATTTTGACATAGTCTTGGTGTTTAGGGAATCAGAGGATAAGTTTTCTAAGTTCAGGGAGTTTTGGTAGGAGCCACTGTTGGTGCTGTTCCCATGTCCCAAATGGGGTAAGAACAGTCAGTTTTTAGGAATTTGATATTTTCGAGGATTGCATTGTAGGCATGGATTCACTAAATTGATTGAATTTGAATGATTAGAATTTTAATTGCTAATTTTCCTTGGTGAGACCGAGATTAGAATGAGGTAATGTCTAGTGAAAATCTGAAAATTGAAAAAATTAATTAAATGAACTAGACCTCTTACCTTGCGAAAAAGAGAATGGGAGATGCGGTCAAAAAGCGTAAGTGTTCTGCACAATAAGATGAGACTTGGGGATCTTTCGAAAGAAATGACATTCTTGTGCCAACATGACAAGGAAAACTGAACTTATTTAATGAACTTGGAGGCTTTAGCAAAATTAGCTTTAGTCCTTCACGTACTTCAAGTATACGTCAAAGCACAAATGTGTTGCGGCGGTTTAGTTTAGTTGTACACCATGTCTACTCTTTGCATAGGTTTAGATGATAGTTCCTAATTTGTGTCCTACTAAATTCCTTAATCCGAAAAATAGCCCTGAAATTTATGAACGTGTTAAGTTTTTGTCAGATTATTCCAAAACTCTCAAATAAAGAGACTGTTTATTCATTCACCATTCACCACCACCTTCACAAGTCCTTCTGATCAGTAGCTAGTTTATTAGTGTAGGGTGTCACTACTTTGAGGATGTTGTTAATAATTTTGTCATTAATGTTAGCCAGAGTACAAAGATGTAGTTTAGGAAAGAATTTTCTTGGGTTAGCCTTTCTGTTATGTGAATATTCCTTTAACTACGTGTGCATGCTAATAGTCTTAATTCTGTGTGGTGATTATCGTAAGTCTCGTTGTTTAGTTTGCTTGAGGACAAGCAAAGACTTAAGTGTGGGGGAATCTGATAAGTTTATATTTTGACACGCATTTGATGCGTGTTGGGATCGAATTTGATGTTTTTCCTAGCTTTAAGGTGTTGCAAGTCTCAATTTTAGCTCGAGTTATGTTTACCAGGCGTTGGTTCGAGTTTTGTGTTATTTGGAGTCAAAATCAGGAATTTAGAGTCCGGCACCGGCACTTGAAGGGAAAACGGAATGATGCGAGAAGCATTCGAGAGTGAATTGAGAGCTTTGGAGGTCACCTGGATGTTCACGATGAAGATTTGATGACAAAAGAGCTCTAGGATTGGCTACGGGATCAAAAGAAGACAAATAGAGCTTGAAAACGGTGTTCAGGATTACCTTCTATCAATCGTTCAAGCATATATCTTTGTAGAAGCATCCAAAGAATACGATTCAAGTTGCATATGAAATACAACTTCAAGAGCTACAAATCATATGAAGACATCATTTCGAGAATCTGAGAGGAAGAAGGTGAAAACAGTCGATGAAGTCAGATGATCCCTGTTGCAATTTCAGAATGAGACCTTCCACCATTTTATTCATATCTATTTATGAAATGATTCAAATCAAATTCGACAAGTTGTGGTGGATAGAGAACTGCATTATCTACAACTTGCATGAAGGACGTTTTGTCAAATTCGGACTAGAAAAGCCGGAAAACTCACTGGAAGCCACGCACGCGTGCGTGGAGGGACGCACGCGTGCGTGGGGGGACGCACGCGCGCGTCCAACATTTTTTCGTGCAAGTCTGTCGGACGCACGGACGCCACACACGCTTGCGTGGGAGCCGTGCGTACCCTGGTTTAGTCCTAATCCAGCCTGAATTGCTTTGTTTCCTTTAAATATCACCCCCCTAACCCTAATTAGGGGGAGAAACTTAGAGAGAGGCTTAGGCACGAGTTTAGAGTAGTTTTCCGCTATTTTGCTCAAGACTTTGAGATTATTTGTAAGTTTTATCTTTTTAATTAATGACAATTATTTCTATTCTTCCCAATTCTATTGATTCTTAAATTATGAGTCGGGAGTAGTTTTAATTAGGGATTTGAGATTGATGAAGGGGTTAATCATGATGTATGGCTAGTTTCTTGATGGTTTAAATTGCATGAATGCCGTTTAATTTGTGTTTGAATAATTTAACTGATATCTCTTGTAACCTAGAACGCACACTAGAATTACAATTGCTTATAGAATAAGTTAAGAGAGATCTAATTTATTATAGGACATCTCTGCACACACTTAATCGTTTGCTAAGAGATTAGTAGCGATTAAGAGGCCGTAAGCTCGCTTGTTTTGGCAATAATTTAGGATCCTGTCGCATGATAGATCAGTCTGGTTCCCTAAATTATTGTACTCTACGCCGTTAGAGCGGTAAGAACTTAGTAATGATTAGCTAGGCTCAATTAACTGTGTGGCTTAATGTGGACTGCTCAACTGTGATTAGGAGGGATCTACCAGAGAAGCTTAAGGATCCAGGTTCTTTCACTATACCTTGCTTAATAGGATATCTTACTTTTGATAGGGCCTTAGCTGATTTGGGTGCAAGCATTAACTTGATGTCATATGCTTTGTATGAGAAGCTTGCACTCGGTCAACTAAAATCAACACGTATGTGCATACAGTTGGCTGATCGTTCAGTCAAATATCCCAAAGGGATTGTTGAAGACGTGTTGTTTAAAGTGGACAAGTTTATTATTCCTGTAGACTTCGTTATTTTGGACATGGATCAGGATCGAGAGGTACCATTGATTTTGGGCAGACCATTCTTGGGAACTGCCCGAGCACTCATTGATGTTGGAGACGGTAAGCTTGTCCTCCGCGTTGGGGATGAGACTTCCACTTTTGATATGTCCAAAATAATGAAGAGGCCTTGTCAGGATAATGGAGAGTGTTTTTATTTGGATGACATAGATTCTATGGTGGAGGATTGCACCCCTAACATGCTTTCTAATGAAGCCCTTTTTGACCTGTTGTTGGAGGATAGTGTGTCAGCAGAGGATCTTGAGCCCCTCCCTAGTTTTGATTGTCTTATGATTAGTGGAAAGGAGGACTCAAGTGATGTTAGTTCTGTGTAGGGGACGGAAGATGATTTAGATAAGGTGGAGAAGGAAAATTTTCAGTCTGATTCCTTTTTTGTTAGTCCTTCTCCATTAAATCTAAAGTCTCTTCCATTCCACCTTGAGTATGATTTTATTGATAATAGTCCTGACCCCCCTGTTATTCTTACACCCGAGCTTGATCCATCCCAAAATTTAGCATGTTTTAATTTACTTAGTGAACAAAGGGAAGCTCTAGCCCGGATAATTTTTGACATGAAAGGGAGTTGTCCATTCTTTGACCCATTCTTTGCTAAAGGGCCTGATAAAGGCCACGATCCATTCTTTTACTTTATGGGTGACCCTGAGATGCATAATTGTTTTCATGAATTTAAGGTCTTACGCCATCTTAGGGCATTTGTTGATAGGAGGTTTGATTTGTGGAAGACTAATTTTCTGAGCGGGAGTGTCTTTGACTAAGTTTTGGATGAGGTGGTTGCGTCGGACAAACGACGTTAAAACTAACGCTACTTGGGAGGCAACCCAAGCTTATTTATGCACTTTTGTTTTTGTTTTTTTGTTTTCAAGAAACCCCCGAAAAAAAATCGGGGTATTTTCTGTTTTTTGTTTTGTGTGTTTTGTGTGTTTTGTTTTTGCAGCTCAAGGTCTTGTTGTAGCGATGATATGCCGTGGTTTACATTGACTCAGTTTAATTCTACACCGACCAACGCCAATAGGGAAGTTTTCATGACTATTCTTTACGCCTGTTTTAATATGTTGACTTGAGTTAAGTTGAGCACGCGTGACCCTTTCCTCTTTACCCCCTTGTGCATAGTGCATTTTTGGCCATCGAGGGCGATGCCAAAGTTTAAGTGTGGGGGAGTGAATTGGGCATTCGGGCAGTAGTTGTTACATGAGATTAATTGGGTTAGCATGCGTAGGTGTTATTTGTATATTCATAGAAAAGTCATGTCAAAATTTTTGAAATTTTTTCCTTAAACTGTGTCTTTGTGAGCTGGCTAACGTGTTGACTATGCTTTTAGAACATCTTTGAAGTGTTTAGGCTTAAATTGCTTGCACTATAATCTAGTAGTTAAGATGATGAAGGCATTAGTCAGCCATTGAATTAATTCATAAATCATCCATCCCACTTGAAAAAGTTCTTTAGGAGAAGCCACTTTGAGCCTGACCATTTTGTTCTTTACCCAATTAATTGAGCTTCATAGCCAAAGGGCCTGTTTTCTTACCCGTGAATAATTTTGACATAGTCTTGGTGTTTAGGGAATCAGAGGATAAGTTTTCTAAGTTCAGGGAGTTTTGGTAGGAGCCACTGTTGGTGCTGTTCCCATGTCCCAAATGGGGTAAGAACAGTCAGTTTTTAGGAATTTGATATTTTCGAGGATTGCATTGTAGGCATGGATTCACTTTGAATGATTGAATTTTAATTGCTAATTTTCCTTGGTGAGACCGAGATTAGAATGAGGTAATGTCTAGTGAAAATCTGAAAATTGAAAAAATTAATTAAATGAACTAGACCTCTTACCTTGCGAAAAAGAGAATGGGAGATGCGGTCAAAAAGCGTAAGTGTTCTGCACAATAAGATGAGACTTAGGGATCTTTCGAAAGAAATGACATTCTTGTGCCAACATGACAAGGAAAACTGAACTTATTTAATGAACTTGGAGGCTTTAGCAAAATTAGCTTTAGTCCTTCACGTACTTCAAGTATACGTCAAAGCACAAATGTGTTGCGGCGGTTTAGTTTAGTTGTACACCATGTCTACTCTTTGCATAGGTTTAGATGATAGTTCCTAATTTGTGTCCTACTAAATTCCTTAATCCGAAAAATAGCCCTGAAATTTATGAACGTGTTAAGTTTTTGTCAGATTATTCCAAAACTCTCAAATAAAGAGACTGTTTATTCATTCACCATTCACCACCACCTTCACAAGTCCTTCTGATCAGTAGCTAGTTTATTAGTGTAGGGTGTCACTACTTTGAGGATGTTGTTAATAATTTTGTCATTAATGTTAGCCAGAGTACAAAGATGTAGTTTAGGAAAGAATTTTCTTGGGTTAGCCTTTCTGTTATGTGAATATTCCTTTAACTACGTGTGCATGCTAATAGTCTTAATTCTGTGTGGTGATTATCGTAAGTCTCGTTGTTTAGTTTGCTTGAGGACAAGCAAAGACTTAAGTGTGGGGGAATCTGATAAGTTTATATTTTGACACGCATTTGATGCGTGTTGGGATCGAATTTGATGTTTTTCCTAGCTTTAAGGTGTTGCAAGTCTCAATTTTAGCTCGAGTTATGTTTACCAGGCGTTGGTTCGAGTTTTGTGTTATTTGGAGTCAAAATCAGGAATTTAGAGTCCGGCACCGGCACTTGAAGGGAAAACGGAATGATGCGAGAAGCATTCGAGAGTGAATTGAGAGCTTTGGAGGTCACCTGGATGTTCACGATGAAGATTTGATGACAAAAGAGCTCTAGGATTGGCTACGGGATCAAAAGAAGACAAATAGAGCTTGAAAACGGTGTTCAGGATTACCTTCTATCAATCGTTCAAGCATATATCTTTGTAGAAGCATCCAAAGAATACGATTCAAGTTGCATATGAAATACAACTTCAAGAGCTACAAATCATATGAAGACACCATTTCGAGAATCTGAGAGGAAGAAGGTGAAAACAGTCGATGAAGTCAGATGATCCCTGTTGCAATTTCAGAATGAGACCTTCCACCATTTTATTCATATCTATTTATGAAATGATTCAAATCAAATTCGACAAGTTGTGGTGGATAGAGAACTGCATTATCTACAACTTGCATGAAGGACGTTTTGTCAAATTCGGACTAGAAAAGCCGGAAAACTCACTGGAAGCCACGCACACGTGCGTGGAGGGACGCACGCGTGCGTGGGGAGACGCACGCGCGCGTCCAACATTTTTTCGTGCAAGTCTGTCGGACGCACGGACGCCACACACGCTTGCGTGGGAGCCGTGCGTACCCTGGTTTAGTCCTAATCCAGCCTGAATTGCTTTGTTTCCTTTAAATATCATCCCCCTAACCCTAATTAGGGGGAGAAACTTAGAGAGAGGCTTAGGCACGAGTTTAGAGTAGTTTTCCGCTATTTTGCTCAAGACTTTGAGATTATTTGTAAGTTATCTTTTTAATTAATGACAATTATTTCTATTCTTCCCAATTCTATTGATTCTTAAATTATGAGTCGGGAGTAGTTTTAATTAGGGATTTGAGATTGATGAAGGGGTTAATCATGATGTATGGCTAGTTTCTTGATGGTTTAAATTGCATGAATGCCGTTTAATTTGTGTTTGAATGCACACTAGAATTACAATTGCTTATAGAATAAGTTAAGAGAGATCTAATTTATTATAGGACATCTCTGCACACACTTAATCGTTTGCTAAGAGATTAGTAGCGATTAAGAGGCCGTAAGCTCGCTTGTTTTGGCAATAATTTAGGATCCTGTCGCATGATAGATCAGTCTGGTTCCCTAAATTATTGTACTCTACGCCGTTAGAGCGGTAAGAACTTAGTAATGATTAGCTAGGCTCAATTAAATTAATTTCATGTAATTAAGCCTGATCGGCAAGAAATCTGATTACCCCGGAATCAATCCCTATCCCCTTCGTCGTTAATTAAGAAGAACCCAATCAATTATTTTTATTCGCTCATTCGCATTAGTTTAATTTCAATTCAACCAATCAATCTCGCACGACGCATTTATTTTATTTATTTTTAATCGCTGAATTTAATTAATACTTGATTCCCTTTTGTCCGTCCCTGTGGAGAGGATACTCGTACTTACACCACTATATTACAATCTTTTTAAAGTGCGAGAAAACTCACATCAGCAGCCAAGAAGGCAGCTGAAACAAGAAGAAAGAACAAATTATATCAAGAAGAGCAGCAAATCAGAAGAAGAAAAGAAGTAGCAAGAGCTAAAGAAGAGGCCAAGAAAAACTTAGAAGACGTCAACAAAAGAAGATTTGACCAATAGTTCGTAAGTGACTAAAAACTATCGTACTTAAGAGTTTAGAACAATGTACCATTCTCATTGAAAATCAATAAAAATGTATGTTTCTTGCGTTGTATAATTTTGATAGATTTTGATGATGCCACTATATTTTGCTCTTGTACATTGTGTCTTATTTATTTTGAGTGTCGGTGTTCAAAATTATTGATAAGTGACAAATCAATGTACAATTTTTGTGACATATAAAATTATACCGGAAAAGTCAAAATGCAATAGGGTAATTTTTATCTACCTTATTAGGATATTTAGATCCTACCGGTATGTATTTATTTAAAGTACAAAAATTAATACTGTCACAAAAATAAGGTCAGATAAGTACGAATATCACATACACTGCATGTGTATGATTGAAGACAAAATTTGATAGGCATTTAATGCTAAAAACGTACATGGACCTGGAGCATGGGACGCACACAAGAAAATCGCCAGAATGATCCTGAAAGGATGTTTCAGCGGCTCATCAGTGAAGACAAGAGAAATCCCCAATATCTGCTCCAGCACAAGAAGACAAAGGTCAACACATTCAACGTCAGAGATTGACTCATCTTAACCAACGGATGAGATCAATCAAACCAGAGAAGTCTATAAATATAGGCTGAAGCATGAGTTCTAAGTAAGTTTTTGAGTCTTCTAAGTAGAGAAAATCTTACCAAGCATTCAAGAGATATTTAGCAAAACAGAAAGTGCATGTTTAACTTTGCTCTCTGCTTTGACTCATGCTTCACTGAACTTCCAAGTTAGAATTTATCATTGCTATATTCTGGAAGTTTAGTTCTTAGTTGGAGACCAGTTTTCTTGTAAATCACAAAAACAGTTGTAAACACTTACAAGGATTTTGTTATCAAGTCCTAAGTGTGGATAGAAACATAGAGTACCTTTTGATCCTCACTGGATCAATTGAGAAAATTTTAAGGATTGAGTAACTTGGAGTGGTGTGTACTCCTTATGAAACACCTTCAATCTAGGCCAATTTGTTGTAAAGGCTAGATTGGCACTAAGTGTATTGGGCTTAATACTTTAGTGAAAATCCATCTGAAAGAGGGTGGGACTCGACGTAGGAGGATTACACCACCTCTGAACCAGGATATACTGTGTGTTGATTTAGTTTCAGTCAACAAAGCACACCCAACACTTCTCATTAAAGAAAGTAGTCTGCCAGCAGTATCCTCATCTTACGCTACTGCTCAGCCCACTGCTTAATTACATACTTTCTTTGAGACATCTCAACATCACAAGATCCTCATAACATTATTACAAAGAAGTCTGTTCAAACAGATTTCTGAGAATCAGCTTTTAACTCAGCAGGTACCTCGGCAGTTCCCTGGTGACCACCCAACTGCTTAGACCACTGCTCTCACAAATTTCCACTTCAACTCAGCTCAGCACATTTCCTTAAAGCTCTCATCACTATGAGCAAGATTATACATCAGTCTTCCCATACTTTCATTTTTCCTTAAGCAGTTGACTCAGCAGTTCCCTGGTGACCACCCAACTGCCCAGACCACTGCTCTCATAAACTTCGAATTTCAACCCATCTCAGAACATTTCCAAAAAGCTTTCATCATTCGAAGTAAGATCCCATAATCGGCTTTCTCATACAATCATATTTTCTATAGCAGCTGACTCAGCAGTTCCCTACAGTTCACTCAACTGCCCAATCAACTGCTCACTCAAAAAGGTCGAAAACTCCACCTACATAGAGAGTTATTTTACACTAGAAGTCGAGACTTCCGCTGTGCATCTATAATCTCCCAAAAGATTATAGTTCCTCCTATCTAGAAGGGAAAACTTTTTAAAGTTGAAAAAGCTAAAGTCTATTCACACCCCCTCTAGACTTTTACCTCTATCTGGGACCATCAGAATGATTTAAGGGGGGTTTCCTTGAATATTATCAATTTGAAGCAAATTTCCAAAAATGTGACCATTTTTACAAAAAGACAAAATGTGACTAACAAGGTCACATATTTGAAAAAGCATGATGTCATTGTCATTTTTATGTCGCTCCCGAATTTTTATGTCACTGTTATATATCTCTATTAGATTTTTATGTCACTTTTAAAACGTCACTACCAATTTTGATGTCATTTTCAGATGTCACTGTACCGGAAAACGTATCACTGTGTCGTCAAAAAATTTACCTGCGACTTTTCCCCATCAAAATTTTCATGGGAAACCATCACCCCGCCGCCTTGACACTGCCGCCATCGGGTGAGACCACATACAACCCCTTACCCCATGCCCCTAGGCCCCTTCCCTGCTCCCCAACCCTTCCCCTGCCCCCTGCCCCCTGCCTCTCCCCTGCACCCCAACCCCCTACTGTGCTCCCCCAGCCACCTCCATGCCCCTTGACCTGCCCCCAACCACTCGAGCCACCATTCTAACCATCGACCATCGCCCAGCTTACCTTGCGAACCCAACACTAGCCCCCCATCGTCACTCCTAAACCCTACCCTCAACCTCCCCAATCTTAGCCTTCTTGGTCTAATTCCTGAACGAGAAGGAAGGAGTAAAATAAAAATGACGATGGAGATGCAGAGATGATTGGAGGCAGCGACGAGTGACGATCGGAGGCATAAATGGCGATGAGGGAAGATGCTTTGCGAAGAAGGAAGATCGCTCGAAGATCTGAGGTGAGGCAGAGGTGGAGGTGAGCCGGCGGTTTGGCACAAGAAGGAAGATGCTCCACGAAGAAACTCGCTGCGAAGAAATGCGCAAAAAAATGCGCTAGAAGAAGTGCGCAGAGAAGTGCGATGAGTAATTTTTGTGGAGTTTTTAAAAGTGGTCGTATTTTTGTCCAACGGAAGCTGAGAAGTAATATTGTTGTCATTCTTTCATGATTTAACTTGTTAATTTTCAGTACATTTAAACAACTTTTCACGCTTTAATATTGCCCGCATAATTGCAAAATTTTACCATATCAAGCAAACTGTTGACCAAAACCTCATTAGCGTTTCTTTGAAGATGTAAATCACAATTGATTGATGTACTTCATTTATAAATTTATAATATATTACATTCTAACATGAAATTTGATGAACATACTTTTTTTAAGTCTAACAAACAAATCAAATATTATGGGTAATCTAATTAATAAATTAATTAATAATATCTAACCATACCAGTGGCTAAACGTTCATATATTTTCCTTTTATGTATAGAATATCCCTAGACCTTTATTATTAACTTAGAGAACCACATAGAAGCCCTTTCAAAAATAATAGCTTTGGGGAAGCCTTTGTAACATACGATGTTCTATACCTTCAACATGAAGTGTGAACTTATGACTTTATGAGCCTACGGAGCAAAATGACTACTAGTATATAAGAAGAACTGAATTCCTATCTATTCTTATCATTTATCTGATAAAAAATCTTAGCCTAAGATTACAACAAAAGAACAGATAAGAATTGCATTATTAAATCTCTTGACAGTTAGTGTGTTTTAGAATCTTATAGACAAAGAAGAGAAAATATATGAAAGGGCTTCTATGTGGTTCTCTAAGTAAATAATATCTATTTTTATTATAATAGATATCACAATAATCTTATTCTTGATTTCATGGACGAATGTAATAAAAAATTACATGGACGAATTTAATAAAAAATCTCTTGTTTATTACAATAGTAAATATCTTATTCTTGATTTCATGGACGAATGTAATAAAAAATTAAAATACATAGATTTTTGATGAGTTTATCAAGAATAAGATTATTTCACAAATTCAGAATTATGAATAATGACTTGTTCGGAATTTTATGTGAGATAAAATGTGAGGAAAACTTCTATATATTAGAATAAGTGAAAATGTGTGAATGGTACAGTAGGAAGTACTCCCTCCGTCCCACAAAGAACTTCCCGGTTTGACCTACACACATATTAAGGAAATAAACTTACTAGGGGATAAATTTTATTGTTTTGACATTGTTTCGACACTGTTTGGCACTATTTAACACTATTTTGCACTGTTTGGCATTGTTTTGATGTAGATAACTTCTCATTTAGGGAAATGGAAACTTCTTTTTGGGACTGTTAAAAAGGGAAAGCGGGAAGTTCTTTGCGGGACGGAGGGAGTATATAGTTTAAATTTACTATAAGTGATAATGTTGTATTTTTTGTTTGGAGAAATTTGCCGTAAGTGAGTAGTTTATGGGATGAGGTTTAATGTTCTATATTTGAAGACACTAGTAATTTACATGTGCGGCGCTATCATTGATAACTGTATGAGAGAATTTCTCAAATGAGACTAAAACATAGTAGAAGTGCATATATAATTAGGACATTAAGTTTATTATTCCCTCAATAAGACTCGTTATTACTGATTAGACAAAATTACCCTTAATGAAATAAAATCCCCCTGCATCTGCACCTCCTGCGATTGATTCACCTCCTACACCGACACCACCCACCCTTTTTTTGCCAGCCACCACTGCCAAGACGTTGTCGCCGCTGCCTAGCGAGGATGCCTCCACCACTGCCCAATGAGGACCCCGCCGATGCCGCCGACAAGACTGCCGCTGCCGCTAAATTATCTCCTGGAGGTATCGACATCTTCCTGTTGCAGCTACCTCCTTTAGAGTGTATGTTGTGAGATTTCTATATTGAATTCTGACAAAATTATGTAAACATAAATGACATTTTAGAATTATAAATGTGAAATATGAGAAGAAAAAGAAAAATGACATGTAATAATGTTGATAAACTCAATTTCTATTAAGATTGACAACATGATAAAAATAGTGACAAAAACATGACACTTTCAGTTTCAACATAGCATTTTCACGAAGTGAGTTGCATAAAAATGACACTATTTTGTCAAACAGGCTAAACGCGTGTCATTTTCAATTTAAACATATCATTTTCATATGAAACTATAAAATGACATATTATATCATTTTCAATACACCTTCACAAAGTGAATTGCATAAAAATGACACTATTTTGTCAAACATGTCAAAAGCATGTCATTTTGAGTTTAAACGTAATATTTTCATATGAAAGTATAAAATAACATATTATGTCATTTTTAGTACATCTTCACAAAGTGAGTTGCATAAAAATGACACCTTTTTGTCAAACGGACCAAAAACATGACATTCACAAATTTAATTTGAAAGTAATTTTGTCGTTTTGATAGATGCAATAACGTACAAAAGTGACATTTTTTCTATTTACTTTCATAGCCAAGTCCAAATCAAGTTTACAGGTAGCGATCATTCCTCTGTATATTTCAGGGAAGAGACAAACCAGTAATTGCAAAATGTGATGTGAGGGGTGGACATTTTTAAATTCAAAAAATAATTAAATAAAAGTTCTAATAAGAAATTCTTATCACAAACCTTGTTTTTATTTCAAATCCAAATTCTCAGATCTAATTTTTTGTAGAATCTCAAAAGTAAGTATGCATTTAATTGGGGAAAATATTTCAAACAGGAACAAAACAGAGCTAGATCAGCAAGGAAAGAAAAGACAAGAAGAAAAGAGAAGAGGAGAGGAGAAGAGATGGAGAAAATTACCTTGGTGTCCCCGGAGAAGAGCAGACGAGCAGCCTGGGCGTCTTCATCGCAAATAGCTGTTGGTCTTCATCGCAGATGGCCTGGGGTCTTCATCGCAAATCGTTGTTGGTCTGCTGGAGCCGATAGCTATTTTGAGGTTTTATTAGACGAAGGGTAAAAAATTAATTGGGAGTCCTATTCAGGGAATAATAAACTCAGTGTCCTATTGTGGAATTTTAACCATGTTTTAATCATGTTTAGGACAATTTTTCCTAACTGTATCTGTATCTCTAAAATAAAATTTATCCGAAAAGTACCACTTAATTACTTAATTACAACCCTCATTTATATTCATTTTCCACTATAGGTTTCAAATATCATATGATTATATTTTATTCTTTTTTTTATACTCCTTTCCACTCGAACCGCACTCTAAACCATATATCTCTCAATCATTAAACGACCCAGCTAATAGTTTAATGAGATAATTACCTAAATGGGAGTAAATACATCTTTAATTACCAAAATAGGACTAAAGTTTAAAAATTCCCAAAATAGGAGTTATTAATTGTAATTGGACAAAAACACCCCTAAAGCTTGGAAAATCCGACCTCCGCCACTGTAATTGTATTTGGCCGCTGCCACTACAAATCCGACCTCCGCCACTGCACACCCGACCTCCGCCGCTGCAGATCCGGCCAACGACGCCGGTTATGCCAACATTTTATCAAAATGCCATCATAACTTGAGAATGCCAACTAAATGGCATTTTCAAAGGAAAACATGATTTTTTTTGAAGAGGATGAATGCCATTTTTATGGCATTTTCAAACGAGATATGGAATTTGTTAACAACCAAATATTAAACAGAGCTTTGGTCATGCAACGAAAAGATGAATCAGGGATACCATTGTAATGGCATTTTCAAAGGAAAATACAAAATTTTTGTAAAATAAGAAGGCCATTTTGATGGCATTTTCAGTGTTGAACTTGATATTTTTTACCAATCAAAGAAGAAATCGAGCATCTGCAACGAAATAGAAGAGGGAGAGAAGTGGAGAAGAGGGGAGGAAGGAGAAAACCTACCTTCGAATAAGAGAAGATCCTCGACGGCGATGGCGACGGCGGCGATGGCTACGACTGGGCAGTGGCGGAGAACTTCACGTCAGCGGCGGCAGGCTCGACGCTTTGGTTGTTCCAGTGCGAAGGAGAAGGAGAAGAAGGTGTATTGCGCAAGGGGGAGATGCACAGGGGAGAAGGGGGAGAAGATGCGCCGCAGGGGAGAAAAAGAAAAGGAAGAGGGGAAAGAGAAAGAATAGGGGTAAATGGGTAATCCAGTCCCATTTAGGGCAAAAAAATATGATTAGTCCTATTTAAGAGTTTCGCCAATAATTTAGTCCCTTTTAGGGCAATATTTCTAGTTTAATCAATTTTAGTAGAATTTCATTTTATTATCTTAGGATCTAGTTAGTTGATTTTATCCACTCCTAGGTTCTATCAGTTACGTACGTTCACTTGTTGAAAATCACAGGAAAGAACGAAAATATTCCTCAAATACTTGTGTGCAAAATGGCTACTTAGGATATTTATATTTCTTGTCAGTTTATTATCGCAAGTTATCCATGTATTCCATTTGCTGCCAATATTTGACATGTCTGTTGTATATTGTGATTTTGTAGACTTTAAGACTAATTATAAGTAGTATCTAAATAAGAAATCAATCAAGAAATAGCCAAAATTCAATGTCCTTCACATATAGGACGAGAATACCAATTAAAATGCTTGGAAGCCCAATCGAATAATAACGGTTATAACGCATCATGAATTTAAATGCTCTCAGTTCCATTTTCTGGTCATCATCTAAATACTAAAGCTTTTGTTTCATCTCAATCAAAACCTCAACGAAAACTTATATTGTTTCCTATTTCCTTGGTAAGTAAATATTACTCATATTTTAATTTAATTTGACTGAAATGGTTCGGTTTAATGATCTCGACCCAAAAGTTGAAAGTTTTCTGTAAATCTTTAAATTCATAAGCATATTTAAGTTGAATTAATAATTAATCTTGACACTTACACTATATTTTAGTCATTCTTCACACTACATCTAATTAATCGAGGAATTTATTTGACCCTTACACTAATTATTCATTCCCTACATTAATTAATCGTATCGAGGAATTCAAAACTCTAAAGATTGTAAATCTCTTGAATTAATAGATTTCAATTTTAATAAAATCTTATGGAATTCTAGATTATAGATTTCGACACATTTTTTTATAACCCAATTCCTCGTTTGAGGATGCCTTGATGTTTAAAGACTCAATGAAAATTCATATTGAGAATACCCAGATTTTGATGGAATTTTAAATTCCATTAGAATCCATATTGTGGACACCCCTAACATTATTCATTCCTAGTCCTAATTATTATGGGGAACCAAGTTTTACCTTTGCACA